GAAAGAAATATCTAGTGACTCTATTTGGCAAAGCGAATACTGCGACACTTGTCCAAGTAAACCCAGAATGCACAAGGGAGATTGTTACCAAAGATATCGCACCATGGTGAATTACAAAATTTAAAATTTATCTTTCATTTACAATAGAAAAATGTATTAGGTCTACCGGAAAGTTCTGTCTGATAATGTCATTGCAAATTTCAATAGATACGCACATATTCGTTTGAGATATATATTTTTGAAAAATGTTGCTCACAAATTGCCATCACGCTGGCAAGAGGTCATAAGCAACGACGAAAATTATATTGTACAATATAAATATTACTAAATTTATGAAAAATCTATTATTTCCTTTCATTTCTCAAACGGACAGAACTTTCCGGTAGACCTAATATATTTGTAGAATAAATAAAATATTTCTCACGGACGCGAATTGGTAAATGAAATTTTAAAGGAAACCAACGATTACGCAGAAAATGTTCTAATCTTGAAAGAAATATATATAATATTATTACTATATATAATTATATTATATAGTATATAGATTACTATATTATTATTATATAGTATATAGATTACTATATAATTATATTATATAGTATATAGATTACTATATTATTATTATATAGTATATAGATTACTATATTATTATTATATAATAATATTACAATAGGAAAATGTATATTTATAAAATAAATAAAATCAAACGCTTTCGCAAGGACGCGTAATTTTTTCCGCTCGAAATAAGGCTTCCTTTATCTCGGGCGCTTCGCTCCAAAAATGTGCCGGAGTTGCCGGTAGGCAGTACTCGAGAAACGCGTGGAGCGCTAAGGGTTAACGAAACATCCAATCTTAGAAACGACATCTCTCTGCGGAGCATACACAAAACTGTTAAATCGACGGGAACACATTTCTCGAACGTTACGCGAATAAAATACATCAAAATATTGTTTCGACTAAAATATGGACACGCGAATGGAAACGCAGTACGCGAAGAACGAGGCGATTTCCGGGACGCTCGATCCGAGACAGCTCTCGGGGCCGAACCAATTTTCTTGGCAGCGAAGCGTGCCGACGCCTGAAAACCGGCTGACATCGTCGAAAATAGGGCCCAGGAGCGCGCATCCGATCCCGACAACTCCATCGAAACGTGGGCGCCGCAATCGCGATATCTCGGGCGCGCGACGAGTGTCGTCCCCGATGGGATCCGGTTTTTGCCACGCGATGATGCGTGCAAAAATCCGCAAGCAATCCGTCAAACGGCCGCGGCGCTGCGCCGCCTTTGTGCCGGAACCCCTATATTCCAGCACCCTACCCCCCCGGCCCCTCACGTATATAGGGGGCCGGTCCGCTCGAGTTCGACGCGAGAGCCTCGCGCCGCGAACGCTGATGGTTTAACGTTCTTTGACGTGCGGATAGTGTGCACGCAGACCTAACCGAGACCGGGGGCCTCCGTTTGTCAGAAAGTACTCACTTTGCTGTGCAGAGGTGCGTGTTGCACGGCATCCGGGTCGTCTCCGGTCGGCCGTCCGGATCGCAATAGCTGTCGTCCACCACGGTCTCGTCTGGCATGCTCTTGCACACCGCCATTGCCAGCTTGAATCCTGCCGAAAAGGGAAAGAGGACTTGAATTCATTTCGCGATACGGATCCGGGATTACTTCGAAATATTCTCGGACGCTTGGTCGGAGCGCGTTTGCGACAGTTTCGAATTTTTTGGGTCGCTGATATATATATTATTCATATATATATAATATAATATAATTTAATATAATATAATATTATAATAATATAATATAATATAATATTATAATAATATAATATAATACAATATTATAATAATATTATATATTAATGAATATTATATATAATATTATATTATTATAATATAATAATAATATATATAATAATATTAAAATTATAATATTATAATTAATATATATATATATATATATATATATATATATAATATTCTTTCGCTAGTCGCGAATGATATTGTTGCGAATCACTCCGTTTCTCTCGCGTCGCGGCATTTTATTTACAATATTTAAACTATAACACAACTCGATACAATTATATTTCAGATCTTTCAATTTGAAATTTTGCTCATTCGACAGTCCGATGTCGACTTGATTTGGTCAAGTCGCCGTAACAATATTATAGTGAATTCTCTTTAATTGGCGCGCAGATAGGGGAGAGAAATGGAGAATTTGGGAAGAGGAGATATCATTATAGTAATGTCTCCCTAATTGGCGCTCGGATTGGGCACAAAAATGAACAATTTTGGGAAGAGGAGATACGATTATTTCTAATTTTTTGCCTTGATTCGAAAACAATTCGGAGGCAACGTGACACGATTCGAATAGTGGCACGTGGCCTCCGAATTGCTTTCGAATCGTGTCACGTGGCCTCCGAATTGCCTTCGAATCGTGTGACGTGGCCTCCGAATCGTCTTCGAATCAAGGCAAAAAATTAGAAATAATCCTACCTCCTCTTCCCAAATTGTCCATTTCCGTGCCCGATCTGAGCGTAACTCGCTTACGCCACCGGTCAAGAGAGAAGGACAATCTCCACCGAAGGCGCAACAGCCGAGGCAACTCGCCGGTCTAACTACAAATAGCCGTTATTAATTTCGACAGGGTGAGGGAGGGGGATGGTCATGGTGCAACGGAAGGGGGAAGGGAGAACGTCGACGATTTCTCCGGCGCAAAGTTCATTAGAATTCATTGCTCCCGATGCCGATGTAAATGGACTGCCGCGGCCGCGGGGGGAGGGGAGGGCCGGCGCTGGCCAAGTAAATGAACTTGGTAACCAAGCACTAACCTCCGCCGCATGATTTCGAGCAGGCCGATATCGATTCCAAACTCCAGGAGTACCGCGATTGGCAGCTCGATCCATTTCCGCCGCACACGCCGCACGCGTCCGTGTTCTTGTTGCTGCCGACTCGCAAGTCGCAGCCGACCTTCTGAAACAGAAATTCCGAGCGATTCGATTAATAAAACGTTCCTCGTCTACACCCCGCCCCGCCTCCTCTCCTCCTACTCCGTCGCTGCTTTCTCCACCCCGCCGTCCTCTCCCGGCCCGCCTTTCGTCGGTACAAATGGCTCTTTCGACCATGAGTCGCAATTACTCACGCCCGCGGAGAATTAGCGAAGAAAAATTGACCTATAGAATCACCCTCCACCCACCCGTCCCACCCCGCTCCCCCCTCTTTCTCCGCGCAGCTTTTTATTGTCCCGCTCGCAAGACTTGAATTCTTCAATGTCGCCCCGGGAGAGTGTTACCTCGTTTCTGGGAACAAACAGGCGCGCGCGAAGGATCGGTTTTGATTAACGGAAGATCGATCGATCCTCTCTTCGAACGTTTCGCGATTGCGCTGCTGGATTGCTCCGGGCTCGCCGACGATTCTCAGCCTTCTCCGGCTGCGATTTTCGGACGGCTCGAATTGTTTCAGGTTTTCGTTGCCTCAGCGGCCGATTGCCGTTTGCACGGGTCGTGTGTCGTCGTCGCGTCATCGCATTCAACTTCTCTTGCTTTCCATTTTCATTCCATTTTTATTCCATTTTTATTGTTTCTTTTTTTCGTAGCTGCGATAATCGGGATTCTTTATCGTCGTCGTTCGTTTTGTTCGTAGCTGAATTAATTTGCAATATTAATTCATTTGTAACGCGGCGGTGAATGATTTGCTTTTGTTCGTTTTAATTAATTGATCGATTCGTGAGACGTAATGTTAACTGATCCGTGCTTTAAATATCGGTTAATTGGTAACGTAACGTTAATAAATGTTTCATGGTGTTTTTACTGGCTTAGGTAAATTAATATTTATTGTATAAACGCATTAAATTCGCGGTCGATGCATGAAACAGTCAGCCGTGATGTCTTTTTTTCCAAAGCGCGCACTCGTTTGTGTCGAGAGAATCGAGCGACGGCGAGTATACTCGTCGAACACAGAGTACGTCAAAATCATAAATAGTGAATTTCGATGGAATTGTCGATTACAGATTCACAGAGTTTAGCAGAGGGGCGGTACAAAGGTATAAAAGTCCTATCTTCCAACAAAGAAAATGCGGGTATCCTTCTTTCCACGCGTCTGTGCACGGATACCGTCCTTAATGTTTGCGACCAATTAGCGATTGTGCGAAGTCTCGAGCTCCCGTCGATACTTTTCCATCAAATTTTCCAATATCTGACAGTCGCCCGTTCGAAAGCCTCGGTCCGCAATTACGAAACGAACGAGAAAGCGTACAATGCGGTGCGTGACTTTAGCATCGTATCAATTTCCAAACGATTTAGGCTCGTTTGCAAAGAGTGCGTCAGAATCGTTCGTACGCGACAAAAGAGCACGATGAACAGTGAATTTTCATGAAATCGCCGTTTACAGTTTATCGTATAGTCCTCGCGCGACGAGAAGGCACCTTCGCGTTCACGTTCCCCCTCTCACCGGCTGCCCCACTGCCGCAATTAGTAGGAGGGGGAATGTTGACGCGAACGCGCCTTCTCGTCGCGCGAGGACTATACATTTTATCGCGTAGCGCGGTCCATAATTTTAACCAGTTAGCCGCGACGCCTCCTTTCCAGAGCGCGCACCTGTATGCGTCGCGAGAATCGAGCGACGACGAGTATGCTCGTCGAACCCGGTTAACTGGTTAAAGGAAACAACGACGTCGAACGAGTAACGACCTCGTTCGAATAATTCAGGACTACGTACTGAACGAGACGAATGCAAACGTGGAGAAAATTTCAGTATCGCTGCCGGATCGAAGAACTCGAAGTAAAACGCTTTCGTTAACGAATCTCCGGTACCGAGAATCGCAGCAGAATTTTGTCGTCTCCGTGCATAAATTGCGTATACGAAACATTGGATTGAGCTGCAAAATATTCCCGACTAAATGTGTGCTGTCCAATTTCTTCGATCTTCTCGTTTACCAAAAATGCATCGGGATTTGCAGTCTAATTATTATTATTGTTTTCGTTTTCGCTAAAATCACGATTTAAATGGCCGATGGTCGCTGCTTTCTACGCGCGGCGAGTATACTCGTCGTCTGGCACAACATACTGCCGCTTCTCCGTGACGAGTATACTCGTCGAACACAGCTAACTAGTTAATTAGAAATTGATTCAACGTTCCTCCGTTTCTTCGAACGTGCACGTATCAATAATAAAATTGCTAGAAATCTGAATGAACACAGTCTCGTTATTTTCACGAAGCAATACGAAACGGTATCCTTTAACGGAACATTTGTTTCCCGGCGAACCTAAGCGTTCGAGATCGACTGCGCTTAAAATAGCCGCGCATCGGGAGAAGTTATTCGATTGCCCGATAACGGACGAGTTATTTCGGTGGCCGATTTCAGGTCGTCGATCGGGCCTCCGCGTAAATCGTTTCTCAATTTCGAATTTTCTGAATGACCCTCGTAGCTCGCGCTGCGGACGACCGGAACCGTCCACTTTCATCGGTTTTCTATTATTTACAACGATCTCGCAACGACGTCGGTTGAAACGCATTTGATGGAAACGTCGGCCCGGCGGCCGCACGTTTCTCGAGTAGGTCTTTCGACGTTCACGTCGACGCTCGCGGAGGCGTAACGCGCGGCATACTCTCCGCGGCGCGTATTCCCGGCCGGTTAATATTCAATTTCACGGGTTCGCGGTAGAATTTTTCGAAAAATTCTGTCAGTCTCACGCCTCCGTCTCGTCCCGTTCGGCAAAGGCTCCCCCTTCGCTCACCCCTCACCCCCCGCCTTTATATCGAGAACACGTTCCGCTCCTCGCGATCGTGCCAGCGAGCGTTTAGAAACTACGTTTATACTTCCGACCGGAAATTCTTCGACAGTTCGAATCGCGCAGTCCGCGAAATTTACGCGGCGAGTATAACCACGGTGAATCATGCCTTCTTCCTCCTCCTCCTCCTCGACGATGAGAGGAAAAGGCGAGGAGAAACCAGCGTAAAGACAGAACCAGCGGAAAGAGGGTGAGAAGAGGGGGGGATTTAACCCTCTCAAGTGTACACTCCGGATGTCGCTGCAACCCCTTATGCAATTTTAATGGTTTTATTAGCCTCGGAGAATTAATATTTATTGTATAAACGTGTAAAACTTGTGGTCTCTCTACTCGCGATTTATTTAATAACTGATAATTGTATAAATAATATGAATTATGTATTATGTATTGTTGGTGCAATAATTTGAACATTTAGATCATAGTTCGTCTATCGTATTTTTCACTGTCGTACGAGAAACGTCCCTTTCGTGAATAGTTTTTAGGTTTTCAGGTTTTGGGTCTTTAGGTTTTATACGTTTTTGGGATTTTTAGGTTTTCAGGTTTTACGTTTTCAGGTTTCGGGTTTTCGGGTTTTGGGTTTTCAGGTTTTAGGTTTTAGGTTTGTAGGTTTTACGTTTTTAGGATTTTTAGGTTTTCGGGTTTTGGGTTTCCAGGTTTTGGGTTTTCAAGTTTTAGGTTTGCAGGTTTTACGTTTTTAGGATTTTTAGGTTTTCAGGTTTTGGGTTTCCAGGTTTTGGGTTTTCAAGTTTTAGGTTTGTAGGTTTTACGTTTTTAGGATTTTTAGGTTTTCAGGTTTTGGGTTTCCAGGTTTTGGGTTTTCAAGTTTTAGGTTTGTAGGTTTTACGTTTTTAGGATTTTTAGGTTTTCAGGTTTTGGGTTTCCAGGTTTTGGTTTTTCAAGTTTTAGGTTTTTAGGTTTTATGTTTTTAGGATTTTTAGGTTTTCAGGTTTTCCGTTTTCAGGATTTTTATGTTTTCAGGTTTTACGTTTCTAGGATTTTTAGGTTTTACATTCTGCATAATTTGCTATTTCTCGATGATCGTGCCGCGATTTAATATATTCGTTTAAAGCAAACGCGAGCGTTATTCGACTTGTATTTAGTAGAAATACTTTATTCCGAATTTCTCTGTTGTTTGACGTTGCGTCTACTCGTTTACGCCATAAACGCATAAAGATCCGTGGCCCAACGATGATACAGAAAACTCGGTTAATCGATAAAAATCGAAATAATCTCGCTATTAACGAAGACTATTTTTATTTTGCACAACGCGCGCGCGCGCGCGGTCAGCGGTTGCCAGCATTTACAAGTTGCCATCGCGCCGGCAAGAAGTCACAAGTAACGATGGAAAGCATATTCTACAATAAATATTATTAAACGTATGAAAATTGTGTTATACTTCAATTCAAAAACGGACAGAACTTTCCGGTAGTCCTAATATATCATTGGACCAAGTTTTATAATAAAAACTTTACAAATCCCAAATAAATTCGGTCTTCTCACTTTTGCGAAGCAGTACATTGCCAGTTAGTATCACTGCTCGGTAGGTTTAGTGTTAATTCGACGCGTTGCATCGCGAACGCGTGCGAGATGCTTGGTTGCGACGAAAAATCGGCGCTATCTCTTGAAAACTATTCCGCGCGGTTGAAAAATTCATAGCGATTTCCTGGAAGGAGGATCCTCGGCGGGCCGCAGAGTTTTCAGATCCTGTCGGCGGACAAATGGAGAAAGGGACGGACTGCGGCACACACACACATACACACATACATACATACATAGCCACACATATATAGAGACGCATACACATATATATATGGACACACACGTTACCCTCTGTCCACATGGCACGCGTGCCCGCGCGCGCTTACACTCGCGCTGGCAAACAAAACCGGGGGGGAGGGGGGGAGAGAGACACAATACGGGCGCTCGGGATTAGGTTTACTTTGCCCGGAGAAGTGGGAGCCTGCAGCGAGAGCCCAGTAATTGAAGGATAGAACCGTCGAAGCAACCGGTTATTTCTCTAGGTAAACAGGAGAAGAGAAACGGGCAGCCGGTCGGGCGTGCAAAATGAAATATCGCGGAACTTAACGGCGCCGATCCCCTGTTCTTGCAATCCCGGCTGTCCTCGGCTCGATCCGTACAAATAATACCTTTACATCCAGGGAATGCGGACGTTCCTGTGTACCG